CTGATAGAAATGTAGTGGGCCGGGCATGGTGGCTCACGCCTGTGATCCCAGCACTTTGGGAGGCTGAGGCGGGTAGATCACGAGGTCAGGAATTGAAGACCAGCTTGGCCAAGATGGTGAAACCCGTCTCTACTAAAAATACAAAAAATCAGCCGGGCGTGGTGTCACGAGCCTGTAATCCCAGCTACTAGGGAGTCTGAGGCAGAGAATTGTTTAAACCTGCGAGGCAGAGGTTGCAGTGAGCCAACCCCTGGCTAATTTTTTTGTAGTTTTAGTAGAGACAGGGTTTCACCATATTGGCCAGCCTGTCTTGGACTCCTGACCTCAAGTGATCCACCCACGTTGGCCTCCTAAAGTGCTGGGATTACAGGCATAAGCCACTGTGCCTCACTTTTTTAAAAAAGATTTTTTTCTTCTTCTTTGAGATAGGGTGTCACTCTGTCACCCAGGCTGGAGTGCAGTGGCACCATCTCAGCTCATTGCCACCTCTGCCTCCTGGGTTCAAGTGTTTTTGTGCCTCAGCCTCCCGAGTAGCTGGAATTACAGGCATGTGCCATCACACCTGGCTTATTTTTTTTTGTATTTTTAGTAAAGACAGGGATTCACCATGTTAGCCAGGCTGGTCTTCAACTCCTGACCTCAAATAATCTGCCCACCTCGACCTCCCAGTGTGCTGGGACTACAGGTGTGAGCTACTGTGCCTGGTCCTTTAAAAGCTTATCTTTTTTTAAATGGAGTTTTGCTCTTGTCGCCTAGGCTGGAGTCCAATGGCGCGATCTCGGCTCACTGCAACCTCTGCCTTCCAGGTTCAAGTGATTCTCCTGCCTCAGTCTCCCAAGTAGCTGGGATTACAGGTGCCCGCCACCACAAGAGGCTAATTTTTGTATTTGTAGTAGAAACAGGGTTTCACCATGTTGGCAGGGTGGTCTCGATCTCCTGACCTCAGGTGATCCACCTGCCTTGGCCTCCTAAAGGGCTGGGATTCAGGCGTGAGCCACTGTGCCTGGCCTTAAAAACATTTTTAAAAGTGTGTAGTCACAATTGAAATTTTGGGAAAAAAATTAAAATTAAGGTTTACAATGCTGCATTGTCCTCTAATTCCTATAACAGTGGTCTGGGCATCACAATCTGGATTTTGTTTTGGACAGTTCCTGGTTTCCTGGGCTATAGTTTAGTAGCCTGAAATAAAACAAAGAAACAAACAAACAACGACAACAATGAGAAAAAACTCCATTTAAAACTCTTTGGGAAGAATGCATCTGAAAGGTGTGAAAACCTTTCAGATGTGAAAGGTGTGAAAATCAGAATCCTGTTCACATGTGTTAAGTGCATGTTATAATGAGGAATATTGCATAGTAATAGGGATGCAGAGTAGTAAAGACATTGTATTTAGGTCTTTTTTTAAGACAAGATCTAACAGTCTCCCAGCCTGGAGTGCATTGGTGCCATCACAGCTCACTGCAGCCTCAACTTACCAGCTCAAGTGATCTTTCCACCTGAGCCTCCCAAGTAGCTGGGACCATAGGCGTACACCACTGTGTCTGGTTAAGTTTTGTAGAGGTGGGTTTTTGCCATGTTGCCCAGGCTGGTGTTCAACTCCTGATGTTGTACTCCTGGGCTCAAGCAATCCACCTGCCTTGACCTCCCAAAGTGCTGAGATTAGAGGAGTGAGCAACCATACCTGGCCTATTTAGGTTTTTGTAAAGGTTTTAAAAGATGTTTTTTTATATATTTATTGTACTTACATTCTAATTTTTCTACCTAATTTTTTGAGAATCTATTTGGACAGACCATGTAGTCTAGTCTAGATATTTATTACATTTAAACAATGCAGAATCCATTGAATACCATGTACTTACAAAAACTTTAATAACCATTATTTTACTGACAGTAATACTTTAAGTAGTTGACCAGAGCTTCTATGTTTATCTAATTTACTTCATCTGTCCTTCGATTTTTCTGGGCTGTTACAAAGGGAGAATCAATTGTGTAGAAGTTAAAATTCTATCATGTGGGGATTTGTTCAGTGGAAGTCTGACTCATGTTCACCTCTTCCTTCAGCTTGCAGCTGTTTGTGATGTGTTTGTGGAAAACTATCTCCCTGGCAAACTGTCTGCAATGGGCCTGGGATATGAAGACATAGACAAGATTGCTACTCACAGCATCTATTGTTCCATCACAGGTATTTCAGCCCCACACCCTTGTCAGTTAAAAGGTTTTGTAGTTTTTGTGTTTTCTTATTGCTGTAAGGAAGCTCTTGCTGCCTTTGTTTTTTTGGAAGTTATTCTGGTTTCCTTTCTCACAGGCCATTTAGGCTGCTGAACATTATTCAGAAACATTAACCTAAATGAACGTTTTCGTAAATTTATTGGCTATTCGTATTTCTTCTTTGAATTGTATGCCTATAGTTTTGCTAATTTTTATGTTGATGTTTTACAAATGTTTACAAAGTGCTGTTATTAACTTTTGCAAAGGTGAATTTACAGTTCAAAAAATTGGTTTTTTTTTTTGAGACAGAGTCTCACTCCATTGCCCAGGCTGGAGTGCAGTGGCGCGATCTTCGCTCACTGTAACCTCCGCCTCCTAAGTTCAAAGAATTCTTCTGCCTCAGCCTCCTGAGTAGCTGGGATTACAGGTGCCTGCCACCACGCCTGGCTAATTTTTGTATTTTTAGTGGAGACAGGGTTTCACCATGTTGGTCAGGTTGGCCTCTAAATCCTGACCTCAGGTGATCCACCCACCTCAGCCTCCCAAACTGCTGGGATTACAGGCGTGAGCTATCACTCCCGGACTACAGTTGAAATGTTAATTGGCTTTCCACTGCTCAACGAAATAAGAGAGAACACAAACAGATGGAGAAACATTCCATGCTCATGGTTAGGAAGAATCAATATCGTGAAAGTGGCCATACCGCCCAAAGTAATTTACAGATTCAACACTATCCCCATCAAGCTACCAGTGACCTTTTTCACAGAACTGGAAAAAAATACGTTAAACTTCATATGGAACCAAAAGAGAGCCTACATAGCCAAGTCAATTCTAAGCAAAAAGAACAAAGCTGGAGGCATCACACTACCTGACTTCAAACTATACTACAAGCCTACAGTAATCAAAACAGCATGATACTGGTACCAAAACAGAGAAACAGACCAAAGGAACAGAACAGAGGCCTCAGAGGCAACACCGCACATCTACAACCATCTGATCTTTGACAAACCTGACAACAACAAGCAATGGGGAAAGGATTCCCTGTTTAATAAATGGTGTTGGGAAAACTGACTAGCCATGTGCAGAAAGCAGAAACTGGTTGCCTTCTTGACACCTTACACTAAAATTAACTCGTTGGCAACAAAAGCCAAAATGGACAAATGGTATCTAATTAAACTCCAGAGCTTCTGCATAGCAAAAGAAACAATCATTAGAGTGGACTGGCAACCAACAGAATGGGAAAACATTTTTGCAATCTACCCATCTGACAAAGTACTTATATCCAGAATCCACAAAGAACTAAAACAGATTTACAAGAAAAAAACAAACAAACCCATTCAAAAGTGGGCAAAGGATATGAACAGACACTTTTCAAAAGAAGACATATACAAAGCCAACAAACATGAAAAAATGCTCATCATCACTGGTCATTAGAGAAATGCAAATCAAAACTACATTGAGATACCATCTCACACAAGTTAGAATGGCGATCATTAGAAAATCTGGAGACAACAGATGCTGGAGAGGATGTGGAGAAATAGGAACACTTTTACACTGTTGGTGGGAGTGTAAATTAGTTCAACCATTGTGGAAAACAGTGTGGCGATTCTTCAAGGACCTAGAAATAGAAATTCCATTTGACCCAGCAATCCCATTACTGGGTATATATCCAAAGGACTATAAATAGTTCTATTATAAGGACACATGCACACGAATGTTTATTGCAGCACTGTTTACAATAGCAAAGACTTGGAACCAACCCAAATGCCCATCAATGATACATTGGACAGGGAAAATGTGGCACATATACACCATGGAATACTGTGCAGCCATAAAAAAACGATGAGTTCGTGTCCTTTGTAGGGACATGGATGAACCTGGAAACCATCATTCTCAGCAAACTGACACAAGAACAGAAAATCAAACACTGCATGTTCTCACTCATAGGCAGGTGTTGAACAATGAGAACACATGGACACAGGGAGGGGAGCATCACACACTGGGTTCTGTGGGGGGGGAACTAGGGGAGGAAAAGCAGGGGGTGGGGAGTTGGGGAGGGATAACATGGGGAGAAATGCCAGATATAGGTGATGGAGAGGAAGGCAGCAAACCACATTGCCATGTATGTACCTATGCAACCAGCTTGCATGTTCTTCACATGTACCCCAAAACCTAAAATGCAATAAAATATATGTTTTAAAAAAAGATAATAACACAGGAGCTCAAGGTATCTCTTCAATATATTCAGAGGCACTAAGCCAAGGGATAGAAAAGAGTGGCATAAAGTCTTCGACTGCCAGTGAACCACTTGCATGTATGTGTATGTTTAGGCTATAGGGAAAAAGTCATAGTATTACTTAGTTTTCTATATAAATACTTAACTCCTAATTAGGGATGAAATATAGAAAAGTGACTCATAAAATATTACGTTAATAGTTTACATCAGAAAAATTCATAATATTTTAAGTTTTTACTCATTCATCCACCAAATATTTACTGCAAACCCATGATCTTTCAGGCAGTAGTCTCATAGTCTGGAATACAGGAGTGACAAAAACCCATCTGTGTTCTCTAGAACATTTACACTGTAGGTTAGAATGATAGCTAGTAAACAAATAAGCACTTTTGTTTTGTTTTTGGTAATGGAGTCTGATAATGGGCAAAGGAGTGGGATGAGGATAAGCTATTTTATACTAGTAGGTGAAGGAATGCTCTACCCATATGGTGACATTTGAGTAGAGAGCTGCATGAGGTAAGGGAGTGAACCACATAGCTACTCGTAAAGAGGATTTTAGGCAAGACAACACCAAGTGCACTAACCACCCACACCTGGCTAATTCTTTTGCGTTTATCGTAGTGATGGGGTTTTGCCACGTTGGCTAGGCTGGTCTTGAACTCCTGGACTCATGTGATTGGTCTACCTCGGCTTCTAAAAGTGTTGGGATTACAGGCGTGAGCCACCATGCCTGGCCAGAAGTGTTTATTTTCATAGGCAATTTAAACTTAAAAACATAGTTTAAGCAGAAAGGCATACAGCATATGTAAGTTGGAATTACTTTGGTTTTTTGTTTTTTAAAAGATGAGATTCTCCTGACTCAGCCTCCCGAGTAGCTGGGATTACAGGCACATGCCACCCTGCCTGGGTAACTTTAGTATTTTTAATAGAGATGAGGTTTCACCGTGTTGTTCAGGTTGCTCTACAACTCCTGACCTTGTGGTCTGTCTGCCTTGGCCTCCCAAAGTGCTGGGATTACAGGCATGAGCCACCTGCGCCCAGCTCTGCAATTACTTGCATTTCTTAAACTCACTATGTTCTCTTTCACTTCAAAGCCTTTGCCTATGATGTTCCCATTGCTTGGAATACTGATCTGTCACCACACCTGGTTATGGTGTTTTTATCCTTTAGATATCAGCTTGTATGTTGTTACTTCTGCACATTTGATTCCTGAAGATTCAGTTGGGCATTCTCTATCTCATTATTTATTTTACTTTTATTTTTATTTTTTGAGGTAGACTGTCACTCTAGCCCAGGCTGGAGTGCAGTGGCATGGTCTCGGCTCACTGGAACCTCTGCCTCCTTTTTTCAAGCGATTCTTGTGCCTCAGCCTCCCAAGTAGCTGGGATTACACGCGTGCACCACCTCGCCTAACTAATTTTTGTATTTTCATAAGAGATGGGATTTCACCATGTTGGCCAGGCTGGTTTCTAACTCTTGACCTCAAGTGATACACCTGCCTTGGCCTCCCAAAGTGCTGGGATTACAGGCGTGAGCCACTGCACTCAACTTCTATCTTGTTTTTTTTTTTCACTTCCTTTTTATTTTCCAGTTTCCTCCAGGCTCATGAAGGCTGTTATTCTATTCCCAGTTCTACCTGTAATGCAGAGCACATGATAGGAGCTCAACTGCAGATTTTTTTTTTTTTTTGAGACAGAGTGTCATTCTGTCACTCCAGCTTGAGTGCAGTGGTACAATCTCAGCTCACTGCAACCTCCGCCCCCCAGGTTCAAGCGATTCTCCTGCCTTAGTCTCCCGAGTAGCTAGGATTGTAGGTGCCTGCCACTATTCCCAGCTAATTTTTGTATTTTTAGTAGGGATGGGGTTTCTCCATGTTGGACAGGTTGGTCAACAGCAGTTTTTGAATCAATAAATGAGTAATCAGAACTTGACTAAAGGGTTTAATAGTTGCAATTTTTTCTGCATTCTTTTTTTCAGAGACAGGGATAAGTAGTAAATAGTATGCTTACATTTCCAAAAAAACTTTCAGAGGATAGCCGCAGGTTAGCACATAGTTTGCCTTATCTGTGATTTCTTCTACAGCTTATCCATGGTGCTATATAAGACCATTGCTTTAAGATACCAAAAGGGCCTGTACCATGAAGCAAATATTCAATTATTGTCACAGGTCACTGTGCCTTAAGTCTTTTCCTAAGCTAGGAAAAGGAACTAATGCATTTAAAGAGATTTTAAAAAGGAACTAAGCAAAAGTTTTACTCCTATGGTTCAGTAAGTTTATCTTAAAATAGATATCTGATAATTTTTTTTTACCATAAAAAGCTTCAAAATATTTTTTTTTTCCTTTGAGATAGAGTCTCATTTTGTTACCCAGGCCGGAGTACAGTGGCATGATCATAGCTCACTGCAGCTTCTAACTTGTGGACTCAAGCAGTCATCTTGCCTCTGCCTTCTGAGTAGCTGGGACTAGAGGTGTGCACCCCCACATTTTTTAATTAAAAACTTTTTTTTTTTTTTTTTGTAGAGATGGGATCTTGCTGCATTGCTCAGTCTGGTCTAGAACTCCTGGGCTCAAGTGATCCTCCTGCCTCAGCCTCTCAAAGTTCTGGCATTACAGTTGTGAGCCACCATGCCCGACCTATATATGTTGTTTTAAAAAATATTCATAAAAAATAACTAAAATACTGTTACCATCTTTGTTTTAAACTGTAAACAATGAACTAAGTTCCTCTCAAAGCTAG